TGCTATAAGTCAAAGTCGTCTTCAGGACAGTTAACAACAACAACAACAAATTTAGAATTCAGACCAAGAAAGTTCTTGCTCACCAAAACTATAAAACCTAGGATTGCATAAGATATAACCAGGGGAATTAAAGTGAAATGTTAATGCTATAAACTACTGACAGAATGCAAATAAGGACACCACTAGAGCCATGCCTTCTTCTTAAAGTGGAAGGAAAGAGAGTTCTGAGCTCTAGGAATGAAGTCCCTGTAGGTTTAGAATGATGCTCTGGGGAAACAGAGAAGGCAAGAGGTGACACTAGGTAGCTTGGCTCTTTCTTTTCATATCTACAGTATCATCCCCTCTGAAGTTGATTTCCTTCACATGACATCAAAGATATAGATTCATATCTCCATATCCTTTAATCCCATAGTAATGAAAGCAGCTTTGGTAGGGGGAATTTTGAGCAGAAAGAGGACTGAAAAGAAAAACGTTTGACACAGTCAAAGCTAGTTGTCTACTCAACCTAAAGGAACATGGAGTTATTTTATCTGTTAACAGAAAGTCTTGTTTGAGGAGGAGGAATAATGGAACTGCGCATCATATTTAGTTCTACCCTGTGTCTCCTCATTCCTGGAAATTCAATTTCTTTCTCTTGCTCCTGGCTTGCAAGGCACTCTTGCTACTTAGCTTCATATTAAGGCTGGAAGCTTCCCTGCAGAGAGCTAAAGGACTTGCATAGTAGTGTGAATGCAGGAATGAGAGATGTGGCACTTGAAAGAGAATTGGGCATATTGATCATCCTCCAAATCCCTGCAGGGGGAAAAAAACTACCAGTGCTTTCCATGGCTTTCCCTTAAGGCAGAATCCTTGGGTGTTTGCTCTCAGGATTAATCCTGGGCTCTCGCTATCAAAATTGACTACAATTGAGGTCACTTCACAGGCAATTTAGGCTAGTTCACAGGCAGTTCGTTCAGCACCATGGTCAGCTCACTGTGGAGTTGGCTCAGTGCAAGACACTCAAGAACAGCAAACTTGGAATGTCACTGCAACACTACTCAGCTCCAACTCAAAGGTTAAGTACAGGGTTTGATTATCCACCAATTACAGTATTTGCTACAATCTCCACTTCTACCCTATACCATTTTATAGGGTGCTTCAATACTGTAGAAATAATGTAGTTTGACACTAATTTGTTCACCAAGATTCAGTGCTACAGGTTCCTGGGAGTTGTAGTTCTACAAGGCCTTTAGCTTTATCTACTAAATAGTACTAACGTTTCACCAAATTACAATTCCAAAGACTCCATAGAATAGTAGTTAGATGGTGTCAAACAGCATTACTTTCACCAGGGTTTCTCAACCTGGGGGTCACGACCCCTGGAGGGGTTGCAAAAAGGGTGTCAGAGGGGTCATCAAAGACCATCAGAAGACATGGTATTTTTTGTTGGTCATGGGGGTTCTGTGTGGGAATTTTGGCCCAATTCCATTCAATTCCATTGTTGTCGGGGTTTGGAATGCTCTTTGATTGTAGGTGAACTATAAATCCCAACAACTCCCAAATGTCAAAGTCTATTTTTCCCCAAATCCACCAGTGTTCACATTTGGGCATCTTGAGTATTTGTGCCAAGTTTGGTCCAGATGCATTATTGTTTGAATCAACAGTTCTCTCGGGATGTAGGTGAACTACAACTTCAAAACTCAAGGTCAATGCCCACCAAACCCTTCCAGTCTTTTCTGCTGGTCATGGGAGTTCTGTGTGCCATGTTTGGTTCAATTCCATCATTGGTGGGGTTCAGAATGCTCTTTAATTGTAGATTAACTATAAATCCCAGCAACTACAACTCCCAAATGACAAAACCCCCTCCAACCCCACCAGTATTCAGATTTGAGTGTATTGAGTATTTGTTCCAAATTTGATCCAATGAATGAAATTACATCCTGCATATCAGATATTTACATTATGATTCACAACAGTAGCAAAATTATGAAGTAGCAACAAAAATAATTTTATGGTTGGGGGTCACCACAACATGCGGAACTGTATTAAGGTGTTGCAGCATTGAGAACCACCGACTTTGACAGTGTTGATCCACCTAGGGATTCGGATAACTCCAGTATTGCTGGAAGGAAATCAAATTGATGGGGTGGCTCACTTGCATGGGTGGGAGGAGAGATGGGGATAAGGTGGATATCCACTCTTCTCCTTCTCCCATTCTCCCCATCCTATCCCTGTTGCATGAGTGATCAACCACACAGCCAGCCCCAGCTTCCATGCTATTATAGGTACATTCTGTGCATGTGTCAGAGAAAGCATTGGTGTGTGTGTATGGCGGGGGTGGGGGAGTAGAGATATTCATGGTTTTTCCACTTTTATGGGTGCCTTGTGCCTCTAACCTTCATGGAAGGCTAACCATAATTTTCTGTTTAGTATGTCAGGATTCAGTCCTTGAAAATAAAATAAAACTTAGGGTGTAAATTGTAGATAAATCCAGCTACTTGGCCATGAAAATCCACTGGATGACTTTGAGCCACCTCTCTCAATTTCAGAGGGATATTTTAGATCAGGAGTCAAACCCCCACTGAACTTGTTGCCCAAAAAAATAAATCCTATGATAGGCTAACCACAAGTTGCAAACAACCTGAAGGCACATAAGAAGAAAACAAAGATTCGTTATCTAACAATTCAGACAAACATGAACTCTTTGAACTCTTTCCACTTTCAGATCTTCTCCATTCCTCTCCTCCTAATTAACCCTTACACTCCATTTCTGACTTTCTAACATCTGGTTCTCATCTCATCCTTTAACACCAAGGGTTATAGTCTCCCAGGATTGTTCAGTTTATCACCATCTCGAATATCATCTGTGTGGTATCATTATTGATGAGCTCTTCCTTCCTGTGGTCATTCTGTTTTGTAACCTTCTGAAGTTTTGTTTATAAATGCATACAAATATTCCCATACTTTTAAACTGTTTTAGTCTTTTTTTAATTGTTGTAATGATGATAACCCCTTCATTGTGTAACTTGTTTTCAATGATGTTGCTAGCTTGAACAGTGTTTTAGAGGAAAGGCTGGGATCAGAATCCACAAGCATATGGACAATTTCAACATAAAGGAGGAAACCATGAAAATGAACAAAACCTGGCAACCAGTATTTTAAAAAACCAAAAAATCATAACAGTACATAAAGAACAACATTAAAAAACGGGAATTTCAAACAAGAAACAATCAGGTCCAACTAATCACCTCCCAACAAAGGATTCCCCAGGCAGTAAGAAGCCAGACCTTGAAAACTGCTAGGCCATTAAATGATAATCAAGGTGGCCAATCGCTGCAGTCACACCTACCTCAAACAGACAAGAGTTCTTTGTCCCATTCCACAGATATTTAAACACCATTATCCTAGTTTCAAACAGACCTCACAACCTCTGAGGATGTCTGCCATAGATGCACTCTTCTCCTTCTCCCATTCCCCCTGTCCTGTCCCTGTGTGCATGAGCAATCAACCAAGGGAAGAGACATACAGCCTGGAAAACACACAACAACCTGGTGGGATGAAAACTTCCAATAGTTTGGGAATCTTTATCCTCCAGAAATTTAAAAACCTCTAAAAATAGTTTTGGAATACACTTCTCCAGCACTTGAAGGTAGAAACCCTATGCTCCTCAGAGGATGTTTATGGTTAAAAAAAATTAGATTAATGCTTTCCTGAAAGGGACCTGTAGAGGCATGCATGATATCACTTTCTCATCATATCTGTTGCCATAGATGCTAGGGCTAATTCCTCTCCCACATAATTCAGATTGGATTGAATTGGATCTAGGTTGATGTTGCTCTTCACTGACATATATTTCCCCATGCAACATTTACTGGCACAAGGTGCTTAAGAAACATCAGTAACTTAGTTTAGAAACAGCTGGTTGTAGCTCAGAAGCATTTCTGATGTTGTTCCCTTCCTTCTGAACACCCCCTGCCAACAATGGCTTAATTCCAACAATACACTATCCACTTATCCAACATGACTCCCCCCCCCACCCGCCTTCTCTCCCTCTGGATCAGTGGTTCTCAACCTGTGGGTCCCAGATGTTTTGGCCTTCAACTCCCAGAAATCTTAACAGCTGGTAAACTGGCTGGGATTTCTGGGAGTTGTAAGCCAAAACACCTGGGGACCCCCAGGTTGAGAACCACTGGGACATCTAGGCCTCCAAATATGTTTTGGTTGTATAGAGTACTGGATAGTGGAAGTGTTTTTTTTCTGGTTCTGTTGATGGAGGCAATTTATTTTATGGAGCAGCCCTATTAGACCCTGGCAAATATGGGCTGACTTCCAAACAGTCAGCATTCAAAACTATCTCTTCTAGTACCAAAGTGGTTATGTCCCTCAGGCATGTTGAATGATGGATGTTGAACTCAATGTGAACAAGGAAAAGAAACCACCACACTAGCGAGTCCCATTTGATTTTGGAGGCTACAGAGGGTTAACCCCAGATAGTAACTGTATAACCGAATAGAAGATTTCCAGCTGTATCCAAGTGACGCTAGGAAATAATCTACCTGAAACCATGGAGAATGTCTGCCAATCAGACTTGACACTATTAGGTCAGATGAACAGAAGGTCTGACTCAGTTTTAGGCAGTTAATGTTATTAAGTATGTGCCTATTGAAAGTGCCTTCTTAAAATAAAATAGAACCACAGCTGGCCTATTTAAACTCATCCACCTGACCAGAGCAATTGCTGGTTTGAAAAAAGGATGCCAGAGGTCTCTCATTCATAGGATTGTCATATGCTGAATTCACCTTGACATCAAATAACAACACGTGTTAGTAGTAACATGTATGTATGTTAAATAGGTGATACTAAAATAACATGGGAGAAGGAAAAATAATTATATTTGTATTGTGGTATATTTTCATGAGAGATGTGGGCACTTTTGGAGGGCACTTGTGTTTATCCTTTCCTTACCCATCCTTCCTTAATTCTTTTTTCAAAAAGCAAATGTTCTTTTGTATTATCCTCAGGGTCTCATGATTCATTTAGCTTCTACATTGATGAGGCCTCTCCAGTTGGACCCGAGCAACCAGAAACTGTCCAGAACTTTGTCTCTGTGTTTGGAACTGTGGCTAAAAAGCTGATGAGGAAATGGCTGGCAACACAGACAATGAATTTTACTAGTCAGCTGGGAGCTGGAGTACGGTATTTTGATCTTAGGATCTCTACAAAGCCCAGAGACCCTGACAATGAACTCTACTTTGCTCATGGTTTATTCAGTGCCAAAGTCAACGAGGGCCTTGAGGAGATCAGTGCCTTCCTTGCCGATCATCATAAAGAAGTGGTCTTGTTGGACTTCAACCACTTCTATGGGGTGCAGAAATGTCACCATGAAAAACTGGTCCAAATGCTCAAAGACACTTTTGGAAGTAAAATGTGCCCTGCCATTTTTGCCCATGAAGTTTGTCTCCAGTATCTCTGGGAGAAGGATTATCAAGTTTTGGTATTTTATCACAGCCCAGTGGCACTGGAAGTCCCATTTCTATGGCCAGGACAAATGATGCCAGCACCATGGGCAAACACAACAGATCCGGAAAAACTGATCCAGTTTCTTCAGACATCAATCATTGAGAGAAGAAAGAAGGGCTCCTTTTTTATATCTCAGGTGGTGCTGACCCCAAAGGCTAGCACTGTGGTCAAGGGAGTTGCCAGTGGCCTCAGAGAAACAATCACTGAAAGGTGAGTGGCTACATACTGAGTTGTTTTCAGGATCTTGGTGACAATAGCAGCATCCTTGATATCAGCTCTATGGTCACAATACAGAACTAGTATTGGGGGATTGTAAAGAATTCAAACGGGTCTTGGGGTCACCTAGAGAGACCTGTTCCTTAGTCCCTCAACTATTGTAAACATGGTTGGTGGGGATGGAAGATAGGGCCTTCTCAATGGCTCCCCATAGACTGTGGAAATATCTTCCAAGGGAGATCAGAATGGCCTTCTCTTTGCTGCCTTTCTGCTGGCAGGCTTGACCTTTTTATTTAGGGATGCTATTAAAATAAAAACATTTTAAAGGAATAGAAGAGTGGGTAAAGTATTATTTTAACTGAAACTGTATTATAGCTTTTTATCTTTTAAAAATTGTATTTTATTCTTCTCATTTGATGTTTGAAATGTATTAATACTGTGAATAACTTAATTCTATTTTAATGTTTGCCTTAGGCCATTTTTTTAAAAAAATATAAGCTGCCTTGAGTTGCAATTTTGTGAGAAAGGTGGATGTTGCTACCGGTTTTGCACCCATCATCCAAAATTCCAAAATCTGAAATACTTTAAGTCTGAATCAATTTGAATCCAACCCAGAAGGATTGTCATGTTTTAAAATCAGAGTGATGAAGAGTAGCCAGAATGTCCCACAATAAATGTAGCAATGTGGGCAAAGGGGAGGGATACATCAATTTCTGAACTGAGATCAGGAAGGATTATATTCTCTCAAATGAGCATATTTCAGAGATATACTGGGTACATCATATACAAAGAAGTAGTTAGACAAGTTGTCCTATAAAATATCTTCAAGCTTAAAGCTCCTCTCCTCCTAGAAAACTAGAAAAAAATCATTTCTGGACTGCAATGACCAGAGTTTCAGTAAGTCCTTTGACAAGGTTCCACCATGATCTTCTTTCAAGCAAACTCATAAAATGTGGGTTAGACAATACTACTGTTAGGTGGATTTGTAACTTGGTTAATTTTGTTGTTGTGTCAGGAGCAACTTGAGAAACTGCAAGTCGCTTATGGTGTGAGAGAACTGGCTGTATGCAAGGACGTTGCCCAGGGGACACCCAGATGTTTTGATATTTTACCATCCTTGTGGGAGGCTTCTCTCATGTCCCCGCATGGGGAGATGGAGCTGACAGAGGGATTCAAAAAAGTCTTCATTCCTGTTGGCACTAGGGTTTAGCCCATGGTGCCACTGGGGACTGGTTGAGTGACTAAACCCGCTTTGAGCCCCCCCCCCAGGGGTGAGAAAGGCGGTATATAAATACTGTAAATAAATAAATAAACCCAGAGGGTGCTCATGAATGGTTCCTCTTCATCCTGTAAAGAAGTGACTAGTGGAGTGCTGCAGGGTTTGGTCCTGGGCCCAGTACTGTTCAACATCTTTATTAATGACTTGGATGAACGTTTAGAGGCCATGCTTATCAAGTTTGCAGATGCCACCAAATTAGGAGGGATAGCTTATACTCCAGAGGACGGGATCAGAATGACCTTAACAGATTGGAGAGCTGGGCCAAAACTAGCAAAATGAATATCAACAAGGGGAATTGTAAGATACTTCTCTTACACAGATACAGGATGGATATGCTTGGTTCAAGAACAGTCCATGTAAAAAATATCTTGTAGTCTTCATGGACAACAAGTTAAACATGAGCCAGCAGTGCGATGAAGCTGCTTAAAAAGCCAATGGGATTTTGGGCTGCATCAAAAGAAGTATAGTATCTGGATCAAGGTTGCCCCCCTCTGCTTTAGTCAGTCCAATTCTGGTCACCACAATTTAAGTGATATATTGACAAGCTGGAAGGTGTCTGGACGAGGATGATTAAAATGATCAAAGGTCTGGAAACCATGCCATACAAGGAATGGCTTGAAGAGCTGGATATATTTACCCTGCAGAAGAAAAGGTTGAGAAGAGAGATGATAGCAACGTATAAATATGTAAAAGAATGTCATTAGGAAGAGGGAGCAAGCTTATTTTCTACTGCCCTGGAGACTAGGACTCAGGGCAGTGGGTTCAAATTACAGGAAAGGACATTCCATCTGAACATTAGGAAGAACTTCCTGACTGTAATTGCCATTCAAGAGTGTAGTGGAAGCTCCTTCCTTGGAGGCTTTTAAACAGAGACTAGATTGCCATCTTTCAGGGGTACTTGGATTGTGCTTTTCCTGCATGGCTGGGGGTTGGCCTAGATGTCACATGTGGTCTTTTCCAACTCTATGAGTTTATTAATCCTCCAGCCAGCATGATCAGACCTTCAAAACCCCTTTTTCTAAGTTGGAACTTTCAGAAGATCAAGGGTTGATTCTGTTCAGCCATGCCCAGTGTTTCTTTACTTCTATCTGATATTCTTATCAAGGCTTCAGGTACAGACTAAAATCTTACTTCTTATTAGGCAATCCCTCATAGCTCAAAGATGATTGTCTTCCAGATGTGGTGTCTTGGCGGTGGGCCCGTAGGTGGATGTGGAGCCCTGTTCTTGATCTGCATCTTCTCCCGTAGTGAGGACATCGGTTTCCAGGTGGTTCCTTATCTTGAGTCTGCAGATGTTTCTGATTTAGAGTGAGCCACAATCTCTGAAACCTGTCCAAGCTGGCTGGGACTTCTGGCACTTGAAGTCCAACAACATCAGGAGGCAGAAGATTGGGAACTACTGACCTGACAGCTTTTGCCTCTGACTCAAATATTTTATAGCTGTTAAACGCACATATTTAGAGAATAATCCTCCAAGTGTGAATTAGGCAGATGTTTCATTGGAGGAGAGAGATATATGCATCCAGTCATAAGGACCCTGCAGATAGGTATGTCCATTGATAGAGTATGACAGGGCACTGCATGCTCATAACAAAAGAGCTTGTTCTGACACTGTGTGCTGACGCACAGAGCCCTACTTGCCGCAAAGCTGTTTCTCTGATGCAGATGGGAATTATAAGGGCACAGTTCATTTGTCCTGCTCTGAATGAAAAATGGTTTTGCTCTGCCTCCCCTCCTCCCCTTGAGCACCAAAGCAAATGTATGATACAGGAGCATCATTGTAATCAAGGCAGGAAAGAAAAGGAAAAGACGTCTCCAGGCATTTGCTAAGACACGGTTAAATAACCAATAAGCCATATCTGTTTTAGGCTGATAATGCTAGTCCCTGAGGTCTAATAATTCTAAGGGAGGACAAATAATAAATGTCAGCTACCATGGATAGGCAAGAAGAGATGATTCTTCAGAGCTTTTTTCTGATTTAATAAACAGACGTTCCACACTGCAGCAGTGAGCAAGGATTCAATGAATAGGAACTCTCTGCTGAGCATCTGCTTCTTGTTTTGTCATATTCCTGCAACTGGTGACCAGCATTCAGTTGGTTGCGCCCAGCTAGAATAGACCCATTGAAGCCATTATTAGCGTGATTTGACATCTAGGAAAAACCATTTGATTTGATGGCTCTATTCTACATGGGGTCTAACAATGAAATTGTGAATAAAAGCTTTAGATGGAGCTTATTGCACAACATACTAATCTATATATATATATAAATGCTCTGTGCATAATGAGTACCTTAAAAACAAAAGAACCAATGAACGAAATTTGGCAACAAAACGTCTTACAACACAAGGAGTGACCATCACTCAAAAATTATGATTTTGTCATTTGGGAGTTGTAGTTGTTGGGATTTATATTTCACCTACAATCAAAGAGCATTCTGAACTCCATCAGTGATGGAATTGAAACAAACTTAGGTAGATAGGTACATATAGGTAGATAGGTAGATAGATAGATAGATAGATATGATTCACACACAGAGAGATATAGTATCATAGATTTGAAAGGGACCCTTAAAGAAGGACAATGATATGTTGCCTGTTCCAGGGTGGGCAAACCAGACACCCTCCACATCAACACTGACAAAGAAACAGCAAAAAATACTGTTTACTCACAAGCATAAAGAAATGACATATATTAGAAACCAACACTTTCTCATTACTTTATTTTCCAGATCAACAGACTGGGCCACAGCAATGCGTGGCAGGGGACAGCTAGTAAATAATAAAACTTTATTTATATACCGCTCTATCTCCCTAGGGGACTCAGGGCGGTTTCCACAAACAAACATAAAACATACAGAGTAGCCATTAAAATATAAATATAACTTGTTAAAATAATCCTATGCATTAAAACAAACCGATTCCATAATCCATTGTGCAAGATGAGTTACCAAACATCCCACTTATATGTGGGTCAGGACAGGTTGAAAGGGCTGATCGGTGTTCCTATGGAAGTAATAAAGGCCAGGGAGCGAGTAAAGTGCCAGGAGTGGACCTAATTTCTGGCCAGGGTAGGACCTAGGGCTACTTTTTTCCAGGGCCTTCTGGCAATTTTGAAGAGGAAGGTCTAGGCCAAAAACCAGTATCTATCTTGTACTTGCATTGTGTCTGAATCATGAATGGATTGATTCTTTTCATTGATAAGGAAAACCCATCAATGAACTCAATATCAGTACCACTATTTCTAGTGTGATAGTTGATTTGCACTATATTCCTGATATTGTTGAAATAAAGTAAAAAATATTGTGAGAATGGGAAACCTGTCCAAGATACAGAGGGGAAAGAAGAACAATGGGTGGAAAAGTTCACAGAGCTGAATCTCTGGGACGTGGTTTATTTTCAATCTGTTTTCCTGCTAAAATACTTAATACTGGTTCTATTTTGCTCAATACTACTTCTGTTTTGCTGTGGAATGACAGGTTTCTTCCCTTCAGATTGTATGTTGTACCATCACAAACAACTATATTTATGGAAGGCAGATTTCAGGGTAAAGGCAGAATCACCTGTAAATCATACCAAAACATCCTCCTGCTGCTATGGATGAGAAATAACTCAGATATGGACACTAGGAAAAAAAATGTTAACTTTGATGGATCACAAGCCCCTCTGCACTTTTAGATAATCATTGCACCCTTCCTCTAATGATTGGGGCATGT